AAAAAAAAAAGTACAACAAAGTGAATTTAATTATATTCCAATTCTTGGCTCTGCAGTTAATAACTTTTACATAATAATAGAAATAGTATTCTAAACTGAGTATTTTTTTAACCTAAAAACTAGGGAGGGGGGAGGGGTACAAGAGTGAAAGCCTCATGTATGACAATGGAGTCAACAGGTAATGTCTAAGATTGATAAATCAAGCAGGAGTCATATAAGCACATTTTAAAAATAGCTGAAAACTGGAAGTGACTGCTGGGTGGGGGAGCAGTACTAGAGAATGGGAAAGACTTTTCCTCTTGCAAACTGTGTAATTCCATATTAGCAAGTGGCGACACGTTTTTAAATAAGTATGTTTTAGAAAGACACCAACTCTCCTTGTCCTGATGTCTGCAGCTTCTCTCTAGTGTGTGCGCCGGGCACCTGGCACTGTTTCTTGCTTCATGTGGCTCTGTGAACACACTGTCCACATGGTGCGGTTCATGTTTCTTAGTGGTAGGTTCAGAGCATTACATTATATAAACTGGTATCAGTGCTGGGCATAGGTCTCCCATTTCATCCTCAGAAATAGCTATGATGAGAACCCAGATCAGACTTTTTTGTTCCCAGTTCTGGAAGTTCATAGCCTGATTGGGGTGAAAGGGATCATCTGGTCATCTGTCCCATCCTGTGACTCTGCCATGTGATAGTGCAGCCGCCATTTGCACAGCTCCAGCAACAAGGGGCTCATCACTTTCTAGGGCAGGCCGTTCTGTCTCTGCTAAGTTCTTCAGGTTAAGTTGAAATCTGACAGCGACACTCCCTCTGCCCCAGGTCTTTCCAATTCTGGGTTATAACTCCTGCTTGTTCCAGCTCTGGCTCAGCAGGCTTTATCTAGAAACCCTCTGCCATCCTGACCCAATTGGTCTGTGTCTGCAAGTGGCCACGCACTGCAGAGTCCCTTGCTTCTTTTAGCCTGACTTCAGATGCATCCCCTGGAGGCACAGGAGTGGGTCGTGGGCTGCATCACCTCGGTCCCCTTGTCTTGGGCACAGTGGCTGCTGCTGCCAGTGGCAGTCAGCCTGGGGCCCTTAGCCTCAAGGGCAAAAGCTCTGCAGTTACTCTGGTTAAGTGTCAGCTTTCTGGAGTCAACTCCTCCTTCTTCCAGAGGGGCTGCCAAGCTCACAGTGTATTAGAGGTGAAAGAGTTTTAGGAACAATCTGGTCAAACCGCCTTATTTTACATGTGGGAGACTGAAGCCCAGAGGGATCTGGTGACTTCCTAAAAGCCTGAGCTGTGCATCACACTGCAGGGTGCACCTTGGCAGGCAGGGGAAGATGCAGGTTTTTAGGGAGCAGAGCTCAGGGTGGCCTGTGAGGTGGGCCAGGCAGACTAGCCAGGAGCTTAGGCCGGCTCTGTGGGTCTCAGCACAGGCCTTTGTTCAGTCGTCAGCTTTATTAAACACCTATGGGCCCAGCCTTTCCTGCTCATTCCCACGATATGGCCACTGTCCTGGGAACTTCCCACTTACATGACTGATTTGGGCTCCAGGACATAGAAGGTATCTATATGGGCAGTTCTGGACTTCTGCCTCCTGTGGCACTTCCCCAAAGCCCCAGAAACGCCTCTCCTGGTGCGCCTGGCCCTGGCTCTGCTCTGTCTCGCTCCTCTCCTGCCTCTCCTTTCTGGGCATAAGCATCCCCATCAGGAGCAGCTGCTATGTGATCTCTAGGAGCTCTAGTGGGGCTGAAGCCACCAGCTCCCTGTGGGGCACCATCTGCCCTCCTACACCCCCTTCTCCCTGGACAACCTTTGTGCACCATCATAGGCCTAAGAACAGCTGAGTCTAAGATTTCAGAGAAGTTTCTTGGAGAGAGGAGGGCTATTCCCTGGGCTTGCTCAGCTGTCAGGAGAGAAGAGAGCATGTGTTTTGCCTGCAAGCTGAGCAGGCTGCAGCCTAGCCTCTGGATCTCCAGGGAGCAACAGGAGGCACAATCTCATCTAAGAAGAGCTGCTGATTTCCCTGGCCAGGCCTAGCCCAGTTTTGGCCTTGGCCTGCAGCGGGAGACGAGTGATGTGCATGAGGGATGTGGCAGTGGAGAATGACTGGGCCTGTCCTGCTCATCTCACTTTGACCACTTCAGAGCTCTGTTCCAAGCCCGGGTGGTTTCTGAAAAGGCTGGGGAGGAGGAGGGCGTAGCAGGAGCTCAGTGGACCAATGCCTGGTTGGTCCTGAAGGAGGAGTCAAGCCGCTTAGGGTACTCACTAACTGCTACTATAGGCCCAGTGGTGGGGGTGTAAGAAAGGGGGTGCTTAGGAGAGGGGAGACAAGCTGTCACCCCAGCGTGCTGCTGCATGAGGAGTGGGCCTGGGGCCACTGAACCTGCCCAGTTCTCCCTGGCTGATTCCTCAGGGGCTTTCACAGCAGCCCAGGGCTCAGGTGGCCACCAGCCCCTCGCTCCCGGGCATGTTGACGTGGGCACTCAGCAGGGGTGCGCTTTGGCCTTCTCGAAGGACTAGCACCTATGGAGGAGTGACCATGGCAGCAGGGGGCACGCACCCCTGACCCCTTGCCTGGTCTGCGCTGGCCACAGGGCTCCACTGTGCAGATACTCCCATCCCCACCCGGCAGCCCCTCAAGGGCTTTGTTGGGAGCTCACCCTTACTGTCCTCCCCAGGGTCCCGCTCTCCCTCCATGTGGTACAGGTGTGGGACCTACCTTGATGATGTCTGAGATGCCCTTGTTACTGAGACTCTCCACAAAGGTCTCCAGAGGGTAGCTGAGCCCTGGCACCAGCAAGGGTACCTATGTTTGGGGACAAAGAAGTAAGGAAACCAGCCCACATGCCAGTGTTTGGCACATTCCCAAGTGCATTCAGGCCTGCAGTCTCTGCTGAGCCTCAGCGCCCCTGCAGGGTGGGCAGGACAATTGCTGGGTAGAGGAGGATGCAGGTATGGTGGGGAAGTAAATGTCCCAGGGCCACACAGTGAGTGAAGAAACCTAATGTCTAGACTTCCACCAAGTCTGGGGCTGTTTACTGCATATTCCAGTCTCTCTGTTTTGGGGTCTCCCAAGTTGGGGTCAGACCTGGGCCCTGGGGGAAAACCAGGCCCTTCACTCTCTGGGCGATGTTCTTTGGGGCATAGAGGCTCCTGTTTGTGTTGCAGGAGCGGCTGGGAGGCAGGGTGGGCTCTGGGATCCGCCAGCCTCCAACAGGCTTCTGGGAGGTGTAGCTGGGGCTGGGGCTCAGGCTCTGGCGGTTTTCCCAGCACCTTCTATGTGGCTTCTGGAGACCCCTCACAGGCTGCAAGAAGAGCAGCAGAGGCGGGGCTTGGGTGCTCCCTCCAGAGGCCCCTACTGGGGCCTTGGCCTGGTCTGTGGTGGGAGAGTAAGTCTGCTGGCCACCTCCCAGCCACCCGCACGCTCTGACCCTGACCTGCTGGGGCTCTGGGGGCATCTCACTGGCCCCCTACCCTGGCCTTTTCTACTCTGTTTCTAAGTGAGGAGAGTCTAGTACCTTGAAGAAGGCCCGGGGCAGGGCATAGAGCGCCTCATTGTACAGGAAGCAGATCAGCAGCCCCAGGATAGGACGGGCTGTCGAGGTGTTCTGCAGGTGAAGTGTGAGCTTAAAGGTGGGGCCGAGGCCCTGAACCTGTGGAGGAGGCAGGTGGAGAAAGCCCTTAGGACCTGGCAGCCTTGGGTGCAAAGTACAGTGTGCCCTGCCTGCCTTCCACTAATGCCCTCATATCCCCTCCTCCTACTAAATCTGGCCCCACACACACAGAAGACCAGATGGAACACAGGGATCAGAAGAGGCCAGAGAGGGTGAGAGCCTGAGGGAGGTCATACAGTGTGGCACTGCAGGCCCCGACTCCCACCTGAGCCCCTCACCCCAACCCCTGCCTATTTCACCTCCCACTCTCATCCTAGGGTAGCCTTGATGATTTCATTGTTCTCTCGATCTCGAGTCACCTTGTAGCCTCGTCCTCCTCTGCATCTATCCACTGTCTTTAGGAAAAGAGAAATCGGAGCCCGGTTGGGTCAGATGCCATACCTCAGGGACCCATTTGGAGCTGGTCGGAGGCTTGCTGACCCTAAGCTCATTTGCGTCTGAGCCTGTGGACTCCTCTCCTTGTGCCTGTGCTAGTCTCGGTGCCTACGGGTCAGGTCGGGATGGCCCCTTCCCTGTATCAGGCAGTCCTAACATGTTACCAAAGTGACAGCCTTCTTTCCTGTACCATAGCTGTAGGGATCCCTCCAGGTTCCTGGGAAGAAATGTCCCCATGTGACTACTCTGGGGGCCTGTCTGAGGCACAACATGGAACGGGGAGCTGGAGAGTGTCCCACCACATGGCCAGCTGAGGGAAGAGGCGGCACAGGAGGGCAGGAAGGTGAGGGCAACTCTCACAAAGGAGAACATGAGACTCAGTCCCCGGGTCTGTGGGAAGGTGATGGGGGGCACGGGCTGAGTTGGCTTGGAATCAGCTCTGGGGCTTAGCTATATGGCAGGGGGGGTTCCCGTGCACCCCAGCCTCTGCCCCCCTGGCCTGACTCCACCCTGACCCAGATGCTCACCATGGCGTGCAGCTTCAGTGGCTCCCGGGCTGTTGCGGACACGGGGCTCAGGCTGGACTCAAGGGCCTGCAGGTAGGTGCGGGCAGCCCGCAGGCGCAGCAGGTAGAGGTCTGTCTGGAAGGCCCGGTGCATGGCTGCAGAGAAGGGGCAGAGGCTGGCGGTGGAGGTGGGGGGTGGCAGGGAGGAGGCAGGAACAGGGGGCGCTCCTGCTCAGGCTGCTGTGGGGAGGGTGCAAGAGGAAGGTGCTGCGGGAGGGGTCTGAAGGAACTGGGGAGGTGGGAAAGAGCCCAGCCTCTGGCAAAACTGGATGAGGTTCAAGCGATTCTCCTGCCTCAGCCTCTCAAGTAGCTGGGATTATAGGCACCTGCTCCTATGCCCAGCTGTTTTTTGTATTTTTAGTAGAGACAGGGTTTCACCATGTTGGCCAGGCTCGAACTCCTGACCTCGTGATTCGTCCGCCTCAGCCTCCCAAAGTACTGGGATTATAGGCGTGAGCCACCGTGCCCAGACCTACAATTTATTTTTAATCTATCCAGAACTAATTTTTGTGGCTGGTATGAATAAAAGGTCTAATTTTCTTTTCTAGAAGCAAGTTGTCCTATTCTGTGTTTTTGGACAGTCTCACGTTTCCCTGCCAATTCAAAATAACACCTTTTGTACACTCTGACTTTCCACATGTTCAGGGTCTGTTTCTGGACTTCCTAGACTTGCCTCTGCTCTCTGTGTCTATTTCTACATCCACACCACAGCTGCTGATTCCCACAGCTTGAGTTCATTTTGCTACCTGATAGGGTAAGTCTCCTCAGTCTTATTTTCCTCAAACTTCTTGGGTTTACTCTTTGAATCAACTGGCCATGTCCTTAAAACAAACCCCACTGGGATTTTAACTGCAACTTTGCCATGCTTCTCAATTAATTTCAGAAGAATCGACAGCTTTACAGCATTAGGTCTTCCCATCCTACAACTTGATATATCTCTCCACTTAAGCATTCTTGAAGGTGGTCTTTTCTGTTCTTGAAGATAGTTTCACAATTTTATTAGACTTTGTACATTTTCTTTTTCTTTGAGACAGACTCTCGCTCTTGTTGCTCAGGCTGGAGTGTAGTGATGCGATCTCGGCTCACTGCAACCTCCACTTCCTGGGTTCAAGTGATTCTCCTGCCTCAGCCTCCAGAGTAGCTGGGATTACAGGTACGTGCCACCATGCCCAGCTAATTTTGTATTTTTAGCAGCATGTTGGTCGGGCTTGTCATGAACCCTGACCTCAGGTAATCTGCCTGCCTCAGCCTCCTAAAGTGCTGAGATTACACGCATGAGCCACTGTGCCCGGCCTGCTCTCTTGATTCCAGGTCAACGCCCTGTGCCTCTGCCTACATTACCCTGCCTTGCCCTGATGGAGTCTGGCAATCATCTTTTAGGGTAAAGCCCAAAATCACCTCACTCTAAAGCCTTTCCCAAGCTTCCCAGGCAGAAGTCCTTACTTCGTGTGCTCCAAAAGCTCTTTGCAGAAACCCCTTCTATACCTGAACATGAAGTTGGCCAGGCAGACCAAGTTCCTAAGGTAAGGACTATTCTTTTTTTTTTATTTTTTGAGACAGACTCTCACTCTGTCACCCAGGCTGGAGTGCAGTGGCACTATCTTGGCTTACTGCAACCTCTGCCCCCTGGGTTCAAGTGATTCTCCTGCCTCAGCCTCCTTGAGTAGCTGGGATTACAGGTGCCTGCCACCTCGCCCAGCTAATTTTTGTATTTTTACTAGAGACAGGGTTTCACTGTCTTGGCCAGGCTGGTCTTGAACTCCTGACTTTATGATTTGCCCACCTCGGCCTCCCAAAGTGCTGGGATTACAGGTGTGAGCCACTGCGCCTGGCCGGTAGGGACTATTCTAATTAAAGGCACCTGGCACAAAGCCTGGTGTAATCATAGGTACTGAATAATGAATGAATGAACGAATAAACAAATGAACAGGAAAAACTGGACAAGACGACATAGTCAATTTCTACTTTTCTTTCTTTCTCTCTCTCCCTTTTTTTTTTGAGAAAGAAATATCACCATGTTGCCCAAGCAGGTCTTGCACTCCTGGGCTCATGCTGTCCTCCCACCTCTGCCTCTCTAAGTGTTGAGATTACAGGCATGAGCCACTGTACCTGGCCAAAATTCTCCTTTCCTCATGATAATTCCTGCATTTGGAAGTGACTGCTCCCTTCCCTGAATTCTAAGGCTCTTGCCGTCACCCAGAGCATCTTCCACCCTGAGGAACAGTGATTGCAGGCAAGGTGTACCTCCTAGGCTGTCCCTCGATTTCCAGAGCCACGTGACCTGCCTAATTGGCCGAGGTTTCCTCCCAGTGTGCAGGGTGGCTGCGCAACATTCCCTCAGCTTTGCTATGGAGGAGGAAGAAGAGAAAGGACCCAGTCTGAGTCCTACCGGTGCCAGCCTCCCGCTCTCGCAGTGTCTGATCCACATAAAGCCGGGTCTTTCGGGGCACATTGAGTTTCATGGCCTGGGCTGGTGGGGGACCCAGCTCACTTCCTCCCTCTACAAACACTGCTGTACGCTTCAGGATCTTGATGATCAGTCCGCCGCCTAGGGAAGTGGACAGTGGAAATAGATTTGTTCTCCCCAGTTCTTTCCCACATTCCCACTCTTTCTTCCCCAATTTGCCTCATATAGAGCTGTTTCTGTACACATCTGTCTTCCAAATGAGACTGTTTCTGGAAGGAATGAAGTGTATCTTAATAGCCTCCCATCATTAATTCATTAATCCACTCAGCAGTTATTTGTGGAGTACTGGGATGTTGTTGGCATTGTGGCAGGCACTGGGGATGCTGGGAGAACTAGAGAGATAGAATCCAGCCCAGGACCCAGTCGCTGGGTAGATATCTGATGAGCTGTCCCGTGGAAGCCTAACGCTGGAAGGACATATCTGTACACCTTGCTTTCCACACCCAGGTCCACGCATGCTTCATACCCACCTCCTCCTCTTTCCCCAGAAGCTAGCATGCCCCTTCAGTCCTGACTCCAAAGCCCTTAACAGGTCTGACTCTACTCACCTCGTGTGGTCATGATGAGGGTGTTGTCCTCCCGCCCATAGCGGCCAAAGCAAAGGCTGGTCACTGCATCCTACGTGGAAACATCGGAGTTTAGTTGGGGAACTATCTTGGAGAGGAAAGCAAGAGCCCAGATGTAATAGGTGAGAAGTGATAAGAGATAGTCCTGGGGCATCGCTGCCTCTGAAATATTTTCTATATTTCTCATCTCCCCTCCAAACTCACTACCACAGTTCGAGACCAAATATCACTAGCCCTCACTTTTGGGGTCAATCTCCTAATAGGTTTCCCAGCCTCGTCCTTCTGGTCTTTCACCCCAGTCTGCCCTTTGCAATCTGACTTTGCTGCCTTTCAAAAACACAAATATGTCTGGTCTCTGCTAGAAAACCTCCAATGGCTTTTGTCCTCTTTGTTAGGACACTGAAGACCTTCCACATTTGACTCCAACCTGCCTTTTCCGTCGGTTCTCTCCTCTTTACCCTTCTTTCAACCAGCAGACCACTGGCTCTCCCAGCACCTATGGCCCAAGCCAGTTGTTTTCAAATTTTATATTGTGATAGGGGACAATTTACACACACAGGTGCACATGCACACATACACACGTTTCACTTGTGACATACTTTTATTTTTATTTTTGAGGTGGAGTCTCATTCCATCGCCCAGGCTGGAGCGCAGTGGTACAATCTTGGCTCACTGTAGCCTCTGCCTCTCGGGTTCAAGCGGTTCTACCAAAGCCTCCTCAGTAGCTGGGATTATAGGCATGTACCACCATGCTCAGCTATTTATTTTTGTTGTTTTTGTTTTCGTTTTGAGATGGAGTCTTGCTCTGTGGCCCAGGCTGGAGTGCAGTGATCTCAGTTCACTGAAACCTTCGCCTCCCGGGTTCAAGCAATTCTCCTGCCTCAGCCTCTGGAGTAGCTGGGATTACAGGCGTTGTGCTATCACACCCAGTTAATTTGTGTATTTTTAGTAGAGACAGGGTTTCACCATGTTGGCCAGGCTGGTCTAGAGCTGTGGTCACCTGCCTTGGCCTTCCAAAGTGCTGGGATTATAGGTGTGAGCCACTGGGCCCGGGCCTCACTTGTGACATACTTTGAATTTACTATTCTATTGTGAGGTCCAGCTGAACTGTCACTTGTTCTGTGAAGTATCCCATGAAGTCCATCCCCATTTATCTCACCCCCTACTCTTTGTCACTCAGCTGCCTCTGTGCTTTTTAGTACTTTGCTCGGCTTTAGTTGGCCCTGCTTTTAAATTTGCTGTGCCTCTGGATGGCTGTTTCCTTAGACTGCAAGCCTCCTGAAAACAAGGACACCTCCTCCCACACCAATATGGTAACTTGTACATATGAGGTGCTCAACACACTTTTTTTTTTTAACATAGGATCTCGCTCTGTTGCCCAGGCTAGAGTGCCATGGTGCAGTCTCGGCTCACTGCAACCTCCGTCTCCCCAGTCCAAGTGATTCTCCTGCCTCAGCCTCCTGAGTAGCTGGGATTACAGACATGCACCACCATGCCTGGCTAATTTTTATATGTTTAGTAACAATGGGGTTATGCCATGTTGGTGAGGCTGGTTTTGAACTCCTGACGTCAGGTGATCTGCCCACTTTGGCCTCCCAAAGTGTTGGGATTACAGGTGTGAGCAAGTACACCCGGTGTCTACAAATGTTTTTGAAATGCATCAATGTATGGTCAGGAGAGGCAGCTAAGAAGCCCCAGAGGTGACTACGGCAAGGAGGAATAAGCGGCACATGCCGGAGATGGGGCTCACCGGGGTGCGGATGACGTTGAGCAGGGCCTTGTCGCGATAAATGCGGACCTCTCCATTGGCCAGCCCAGCCATGACGGCCTGTAGGCCCCGGGAATGCTGCTCCAGGAGGTTCATGGTCAAGATGGCTGCAGGCATCTGCACTGTCCACAGCTTCTTCCCCTGGCAGGGAACAGCCAGTGTCTGTGGTGGGCTCAGGGCTTACAGTGGAAAGAAGGGTTTCTGGGGTGGGGAAGCCAGAGGGCTGTCTTGCCAAGGGGGTGCTGAGGACATAGGCATGGAGGGGCTGCTGCTTCCTGGGGGCTGCACCTTGTGGGTAAAACCGTGCAGGCTGTCTTGGGTGCTGCCCACCACCAGGATCTTGTGTACTCGGACAAGTCCTACAGGCTGGGCGCTCAGCTCGATGCAGTACTTGGGGTGCTTGGAGTCTCTGTGGAATAAATGACACATTGTCCGGCCCCGAGAAATCCTCTCTCCACTTCCATGGCTGATCCTCCTCTTTCTAAACCCTATGGACTCACCTGGGAGGAACATTGGCCCCAAAGCAGATGACCTTGGGATTATTTCCACCTCTGCCACCTTAGTAAATGTGTGGCCTTAGAAAACATCAAGTGTGTTCTCCTACTCTGTCTTCCTCCGACCTTTACTATGGTGGCTTGTATGATCATCTGGCATTTAACAGAGTTTTCAGCGAGTTTACCTAAGGCTGGACTAGCCAGGACAAGTGGACTTAGGCAGTTTCTAACTTATGAGAAAAGGATGAAGAGCTTTGCCCTGTGTCAATGCAGTTTTAGTTTACTGGCCTCTCAATTTTAGTTTCCCTTATGCAGAAAGTACAGTTAATTCCTCCCTACTTGAGAAGCACATGCCAATGTCTTTCCCTCTTTGAGTTTCCCTACAACACTCTTCTCCCACTTTCTCAACAACTGCTTCCTTCTATTTTTTTTTTGAGACAGAGTTTCGCTCTTGTTGCCCATGCTAGAGTGCAGTGGCGCGATCTTGGCTCACCACAACCTCCACCGCCTGAGTTCAAGCGATTCTCCTGCCTCAGCCTCCTCAGTAGCTGGGACTACAGGCATGTGCTACCACACCTGGCTAATTTTGTATTTTTAGTAGAGATGGGGTTTCTCCATGTTTGTCAGGCTAGTCTCGAACTCCTGACCTCAGGTGATCTGCCTGGCTTGACCTCCCAAAGTGCTAGGATTATAGGCGTGACTCACTGCGCCTGGCCAATTGCTTTTTTCTTAACCTTCAAGCCACCTCCACAGACAGGTGTTCCTGATCATCCTTACCCATTATTTTTCCCTATTGAGCTTGTATTTTTTCTCCATAGCACTCATCCAATTTTTAGTAATATCTTGGTTTCTTGACTTCAAAACATCTGTCTTCCCCATGAGGACAGGGAGCATATTTATCTTGTTCATCAGTATATCCCTAATACCACACACTGCGTAATGCATAGTAGATGCTAAATGAATATTTCTTGAATTAAAAAAATGCATGTTATATGTGATGTTAAACTAATGCATAAGCAAGTGTCATATACCCTGGAAAGTAACAAATATGGGAAATTATTTTATTTCCTCCCATCAATTTCCTTTTTTTTTTGAGACAGGGTCTTGCTCTGTTATTCAGGCTGGAGTACAATGGTGTGATCTCGGCTCATTGCAAGCTCTACCTCCTGGGTTCAAGTGATTCTCCTGCCTCAGTCTCCCAAGTAGCTGGGGCTAGGGGTGCGCGCCACCACGCCCAGCTAATTTTATATTTTTGGTAGAGATGGAGTTTTACCATGTTGGCCAGGCTGGTCTTGAACTGACCTCAGGTGATCTGCCTTCCTCGGCCTCCCAAAGTGCTAGGATTATAGGCATGAGCCACCGCACCTGGCCTATCTTCTCATTTCTGATCACATCACTCCCGTACTGCAGTCACTCAGCCTAGTCTCTGACTTTGCCAGCCCCCATCTCACAAACCTACAGGTAGCCTCCCTGTGCTTGTGGGCTCAGCCTCCTTCATGAAGTTCTCAGCTCTTTACATTTCCAAATTCCAGCCTTAAAGCCCATTCTGATCATGCAAGCCTCTGAAGCCCTCAGTTTTCTGAGGTGTTCCTCCCGGCCCCAGAGACCAGAGATGTGGCTACCTTCTCAGAATATAGATGTTTCCATTGCGGCAGGCCGCGGCAAGCCGGAATTCGACATCAAACTGGCCGGAAACCTCTAGGAAGACGGGGACACTGGGAAGGCTCATCTGCAAAAAAGAGGCGCAAACACTCCAATCTCTCTGGAGTCCCCGTCCCTCCCTGCCCTGACAGTAACTCCTCTGAATGAATGCCTGGTCTAAAGTCCCAATCTCCTCACTCATACCCAGTTTAAACTCATACAGTTTTTCAGGAGGGGGCAACATTTAGCAAAAGCCTTTTAGTCTGTGCCTTTTGACTAAACGATGCCACTTCTAAGACTGCATTCTAAGGAAGTACTTAAACAACCATGCAGCCAGATGTGGTGGCTCATGACTGTAATCCCAGCATTTGGGAGGCTGAGGTGGGTGGATGGCTTGAGCTCAGGAGTTAGAGACCAGCCTGTCCAACATGGTGAAATCTTGTCTCCACCAAAAGTACAAAAACTTAGCTGGGCGTGGTGGCCTGCATCTGTGGTCCCAACTACTTGAGAAGCTGAGGTTAGAGGACTGCTTGAGCTCAGGTGGTAGAGGTTGCAGTGAGTTCAGATTGTACCACTGTACTTCAGCCTGGGAAACAGAGCAAGACTCTCTCTCAAAAACAAACAAACAAACAAGCATGCAAAGATATTTGGGTAAAGAAGTTTGTAGCACTGGTATTAACAGCAAAAAAAAAAACAAACAAAAAAACAATTTAAATGTATAACAGGCAAAAAATGAAAAACAATTTAAATGTACAATAGGTGGCATGGTAAATAAATTATGGTACCTCTATATGATAGATATTGTGTGGTCTTTAAAAAGGCTGATGTGGGGCCAGGTATGGTGGCTCACACCTGTAATCCCAATGCTTTGGGAGGCTGAGATGCGCAGATCACTTGAGGTCAGGAATTCGAGACCAGCCTGGCCGACATGGTGAAACCCCATCTCTACTAAAAACACGAAAATTAGCTGGGCATGGTGGTGCACATGGCTGAGGCATGAGAACTGCTTGAACCTGGGAGGTGCAAGTTGCAGTGAGCTGAGATAGAGCCACTGCACTCCAGCCTGGGTGACAGAGTGAGATTCTGCCTCAAAAACAAAAAACAAAACAAAACAAAAGGTTCAGGTGGTTTTACAGATATAGAAAGACACTGATGATATGCTGCTACATGAAAAGAACATGTTACATGATCCTCCTGCTTTTACTTATTTATTTATTTGTTGTTTTTAGAGACAAGGTCTTACTCTGTCACCCAGGCTGGAGTGCAGTGCCACAATCATAGCTCACTGCAGCCTCAAACTCCTGGGCTCAAGCCATCCTCCTGCCTTGGCTTCCCAAAGCACTAGGATTAGAGGCATGGGCCGCCACAACTAGCTTATACTGCTTTTATAAAGATAAATATTTACATAAAGTTATATATCTCTGTCTAAATATGAAAATGTCTAGAAGGACCTATGCCTCAACCTTAACAGTATACATCCATGGGTGGTAGGATTTTTGGCTATACATCTTTCTTTATGCTTATTTAGTTTCTAATTTTTCTACAATGAACATACATATTACCCAGAACTAACTGTGGAGCATGGGGAGAGAATGAAGCCTGGGTCCCCAGTGTGCCCAGGGCCAGACCTGACACTGACCTTGGCTAAAATGGTGAAGGCCTCGGGGTCAAGCACCAGGAGCTCCTTGTTCTCAGTGCCCAGCACCAGGCAAGACACAGCATCCTCGTCAGCCAGGTTCTTCTTCAAGGTGGTCATGGTGGTGATGACTGTCTATAGAAGGACTCCAGGGGTCACCCAGGGAACCCCCACATACCACCCCCAAGATACTCCCAGGATGTCACAGGAGGGAAGAAAGAGGGAAAGGAGGATGAAGAGGAAATACCAGAGATGTGACAGAAGATTTAAGTATGAAGTGTTTATTGCAACAAATCTAACTTTCTAACAAAAGGGGATTGTCTAAGTCTATTATGAGCTATCCATATTATCAAAAACTATGCAGTCTTTTTTTTTTTTTTTT